GCAGCTTTGCTTAATCAGAGGTCCCCCAAAAATAGACGGGAAATATCTCTACCACATTGTACTGAGAGCCTCTGAAAAATGTTATTCCACACCTAGAAGACTTGAAAGAATCTGATTTGAAAGAAAAATGATCCTTCCACAGGATACTGGGAAATAAGGCTTCTATATCAAAAATTGAGATAGATGGTGTCTTTCAAGCTTTCACATTTTAAATAATCCAATCTTTATGTCCAAGCCAGAAGGTAAACATAGTTCTAACTCTTCATTCTCTTCCCTGCTTTAAGTTTGATCTATGTTTTTGTTCTGTTGTAAGATATTTTCAATGAGGTTTGCCTGAGAAACAGGAAATCCTTTAAGTCAATGTAAGCAAAACAGGGCAGACACAGAGAATTGAGCAATTGGTTTTATACATGCCTTCAATTAGCAGAGAAGTACAATGATTTTCCCATCTGTTAGACATCCGGGACATAATCATATGACATATATACATACATACATACTGTACATACATACGTACATGCATAAATCTGGTTTCTCTTCAGTCACTAGAAAAGAGACTCCCAAATCATATTGTCCTTGTTTTTTTTTCTCTTCACTAAATCAACTTTGGCCCAAGCGAAAAGTATTTCCCCAGATATATACACAGGAACTAGAGTAATATAAGATTCATAAAATCAACAAAGCCCCAAATCTCTCCAAGTCTGAAAATGTTAGCTTCTTCCACTCCTTTACTCCACCCTCCACTGTGGTTTTGGCACCTCTAAAATGTTACACATTGCAACTGCGCATTTGACAGAAAACATCCATTCACATTGCCATCATAGTAATCAACATGGTTATTTTTTGCTTAAAGTCAGTTGTTCAAAAGTTTTGTTTATTTTTCAAATTTATAGCAGTAGCACTTAGACTTATACACCACTTCTGTGGTGGTATAATGGTTAGAATGCAATGTTGCATTAGCGTTGCAGGATAACTCTGCTGACTGCCTGAAGTTTGATCCTCCCCAGCTCGAGGTTGACTCAGCCTTCTATCCTTCCAAGGTCAATAAAATGAGGGTCCAGATTATTGGGGGCAATATGCTGACTCTATAAACTGCCTAGAGAGGGCTGTAGAAGCACGATGAAGCGGTATATAAGTCTAAGTGTTAGTGCTGATGTTTTACAGCCCTGTCTTTACAAAGTTTATAAAGTCAGCATATTGCTCCCAACAATCTGGGTCCTCATTTTACTGACTTTGCAAGGATGGAAGACTGAATAAACCTTGAGCCTGGCAGTGGGCAGAGTCAGCCTGCAATACTGCATTATAACCACTGCATCGCTATGGCAAATTTAAATAGCCACCCATCTCATATATATGATTTGGGGGCACCTTAAAAACAAAACAAATATAAAAACAATACAAAAGAACAATACAAGAATCATATAGAGTCATTTTTAAAAAAATCATTAAATATACAATCCCATTCATCTTGGGTCCCCATGCCTGTAAGTAAAATTGGGCCTTTAAAGCCTAAAAAATCCAGTACATTTGGAGCTACCAGTAATCTGATTTCTGGGGGATGATGTTCTGCAGGGCAGATGCTACAGCAGAAACAAGTTCTCTAGGATCCTGGATAATGCTCCCTGGTTGATGGAACCTGCAATACTCCATCCTTCCCAGACCAGATGGGTTGAATAGGTATAACTGCATCTCCTCAGGTAGTCCAGTTCCATGCCATGCTTTATAGATCATGATCCCAGCTTCAACTGAACCTGGAAGCAAACTGGCAGCCAATGCAGCTTGTGGAGCGGAGATATAATGTGCAGAACCTGGAACAGGCATAACTGCCTGCACCACTTTGAACACGTTGTACTTTCCAAAACTCTCCAAGGGCAGCTCCATGTAGAACACATTGCAGTACATTCATACAAGAGTCGACTAAAGCATGAGTGACGATAAGTGAGATCTCCTGGTGCAGAAATGCGTGCAACTAATAAACAACTTGTAGTGCAGTTGTTCAAGGACTCTCCTGGCCATGGCTACCAATTAAGAATTCAGTTCTGCATGAATCAAGATGTTTCACAGCATATACATTGTCCAAATTAAAGCAGTAGCATTAAGGTATTATTATTATTAAGATTATATACCCCTTTGTCTAAGAAATGCTACATATTTGGAAGATGCAGGTCAATACTGAAGCAATTATTTCTAAAACTCTTTGTTTGGTCTGTTCGATTGCATATGATTTTCCACTTGATTATTTCACACACAAAAAATGCTTTGTCCATCTCTTAAAACAGCAGATTTACATATTTTCATTTAAGATCAAACTGAGAGTAACCTTTAAATTCTACATTCCCAAGGGTAGCTCTTTCCAAAACCCCTGAACCCTCCTAATGAAACACCTAGAAAAGTGCAATTTTAGAAAGAAATCATCAGCAATTTCTAACTGAAAATGAACACAGTTTGAGAATATGGTTTTTGCTTAGGCCCAGCCCAGATGTGGAAATTATATGGAATGGCCTATTCTGATGCCATTTTTTTTCTTGAACTCTCAATTATTCTAGCTCTGGAAATTTTGGAAGAGGTATTGTTATACCGTAATGTGATAGCATGCAGGAGCAGTAAGCTTAAATCTTACTAAAATTACTGTAAATGATATCATACCTTTTTCCCACCAACTCTTCTGACATTTGAAAGTTTAGGTTCATGCTTGGATGGGTGGGGGAGGCATATACATAGAATGCATGCATGAAAGAGTATATTGCTGAACTGGAGAAGACTTTAAACTCCTTTCCTCTTGCTTTTCCCAGTGATTTTTCTGTTTTTATTCCAATCAAGGTGGCACAATGGTTCAGTGGTTAAAGACACTGAGATTGTCAACTGGAAAGCTGACAGCCCAAGTTCAAGAACTCCATGCCATGGACTGGGTTCCCATTACTTCCCCCTCTTTCCTGGTCCTGCCTATTTAGCAGTTCGAAAGCATGCAAATGCAAGTAGATAAATAGGTACCACTTTGGTGGGAAGGTAACAGTGTTCTGTGTGCCTCAGTGTATAGTCATGCTGAACACATAACTACGGAAGTCTCTTTGGACAACACAGTCTCCTTCAGCTAAGAAACGGAAATGAGCACTCCACCCTAGAGTCAGAAATGACTGGACAGGGGAAACTTTTACTTTTCTCTTATTCCAATCAAGCTATCAGATTCATGTAGGAGAAAAACCACTTTGGTGGGCGATGAACACAGAAAAGTTAAGCTAACTCTGCACAGCTTATCTTATCCTGCAGATTGCCTTCTCCCAATGCAACTTTCTTAAAGAGGAGTGGTACTTAAGTTTTTTAAAAAGATGGGGGCATTGGAAGATGTCATCCAGGAAATGGGAAGCTGTGAATTTCACTATGCAGTAGACTTTGAAATGTCATTGATCATCTTCATTTTAAACGTCCATTATTTATCTATCAAATCGCCTACAGCAACAATTCACCTCTAATAATCCTCTACATAGGAGGAATGCTAATTGAAAAGCTTTACAGATGGTAATATTAAAAATTAAATGTGCTTCTCCAGATTGTTCCTTATTTTTCCCTTAGGTATGATTAAATGGTTTCTCTCATCTGCTGTCTCTCCCCTAGCTTGAACTTAGCACAGTTTTAAGTGTTTATTCTTCTCAAACAAATCTACTGTATAGTTCAATAAAGCAAAAGATCCAAATTAAATAGAAAAGGCCCTATCTGAAGGAGGTTCATATCTCATCAAAATCAGTAGCCTGTAAATGCATAATGAGAAGCCTAAACTGGCAATCCTGTACATACTAAACAGGAACCAGGTAGCATAGATGATTCCACTTATTTTAGCAGCATTTGGAATCAGTTTTGAGACTTCAGCTCGATAAAATCCCAAGAGGCATTGATTTTCCTTTTCTTTACAATAACCAATTTGGCTCGAGAAGTATTTATAGTGTACACAGATCCTATACTGTCCTACAAACCTGCAAATCTAATTTAATGAAGGACTTGGGGTGACATGATAGCTGTGTTCCAATATCTAAAGGGCTGGCACAAAGAACAGGGGCTCAAGCTATTCTCCAAAGCACCTGAAGAGCAGTATAAGAAGCAATCAAGGAGAGAACTAACCTAGAACTAAGGAGAAATTTCCTGACAGAACAATTAGTGGAATGACTTGCCTTCAGAAGTTTGGGTGATCCATCACCGGACGTTTTTAAGACGAGATTGGACAGCCATTTGTTTAAAATGGTACAGGGTCTCCTGTTTGAGTAGGGGTTGGAATAGAAGACCTCCAAGGTCCCTTCCAACTCTGTTGTTTTGTTTATTACAGCAGTCATAATTGAAACATTATGTCCTTCAACATACTTCAACATAAGTGGTTATCATCATCATTGCTCAATTGCAAATTAAATGTGCATCGGAGAGCTTTCAGGCGTACAGTATATACTGAACTGGTCACAATTGTGCACCCCTATCAGCCCTTTTCCAGATATGAGGCAAGTCCTCATATAACAGAAGTTCACTAGTTTTCTGAAGTGATTTCTGGATAGAAGAAAGCAAGGAGATGGGAATGAGATATAAATGATGGAGAGAAGATCCAAGACATAAATAGAAATTCCATTTTTCCTGTAGTGAATTTTTCCATTTTTTTCTTCCTTCCTTTCTGGAAGGAAGAATGAAAGAGAGATGAAGAATTTCTTTCAAGGCACCGAAGATTAAGATATAGCCAATATCAGATGAAATATCAGATGAAATTAGCAATTAAAAGTCAACGTACATTTATGCCATTATTCAAGTTCATAGCACTCCTATGCTAGATATATTTATGATTATGCATTTATTGTTGCCATAACAACCAACATCCCTTCTTTCTCATTATTTCCAATGGATTTACCCACAAGGTTCCCACACATTATTTTTAACCATTTTTGGAACACATCTTTACATTCACACATGTAATACAAGTGATTGAATTAACGTCATGTTTTCCTTTTCTTTCTAAATTCGTAATTCAGACGTGGATATGCACAACAAGAGGTAAGATGCACATTCCCTACATTTATTTCAGCAAAAAGTTATAATTTATAGCTGTTTCCTTCAGCATAGCCTGAAGACTTTAATCCACAGAATTAAAAGTTATCAGTGAGAATTATGGATGTGTATAAATCTTCCTGGGCTTTTAGATGTAACACCTCTAGTTCCTTTTTCTTTTCTGTTTGCTGCATACATTCCATACTTTTAAAGTGATTTAAATATAGTATTTACTATAATAAATGAATAATTATGACTTAAATGCTTTCAGAAAGGCTACACTAGAAAAAAATTATTTTTGCTCCCCACAAATAGAGATATTATTTATAAAAATGTGCCTTTTCTGGATTCCTGATACACTCTGCCTGTTCTTATATTGTAAGTTGTATAATTTATTGACCGGCCTTGACAGCAAAGCTATGTTATTTCATAATTGCAATTTTGTACTTAGACCCATAAACAGTGTTAAGACATACACAGAGCTTGCTTCACTTATTAATTGAAGCCTTCACCTGGTGCGTGCATTTTGAAATCAAAAGTGTAATTAACAAGACTGCTCTGTAAAATTGTAAGATGTATGTTTTATAAATAGGAATCAGTTTGAGAATGAATACAGAACTTGACATTATGAACAGAGGGAAAAAAAGGAAGAAAATGATGCATGTTGCCTTGAAAGACCAACAAAATTATCACAGAATATTTTCTATACTGAATATAAAATATAACTGAATACTGAAAACTGTGAAGATAGATGCAAATGGAAAATGAAATATAACAATTTGGAGTAATGACCTTATTAATAAGAGACCTTCTAAAATAGTTGTTGGATGAACAACTGAGACAGTTTATACTGCCAAACTGTTTGCAGTTTACAGGAACCTTGATAATGGAACTTACAATGGAGCCTCAAAAGGAAGTTTAGCATTCAAGCATGTTCATTTTCTGAATCTGAGGTGTTTTTGCCCTTTAGCCTTGAAAGAAAATCACTTAAATCAAATGGTAGCTCTGTTGTAACCCTGTAAAAGTGTATTATTGTTATAAGGTTATAAAAATTACTTTGCAACTCTTTATTTGCCTTTTTCCATTAAATCAAATTTATTTATTTTTTCTTTGTCAGCAACAGCAATTGCTGAGACCTTCTCTTCTCAGACCTGAGGTACCATTTTCTTCCTTATTCTATTTATTTATTTATTTATTTATTTATTTGATTTGCCAATTGTTTACAAGATAATAAGTATAAATGTATACATAGTTGTGAATACATGAAATGGTTACATATAAGAAAAATAAAAGAATAGGAGAAACAATAGGACAGGGACGGTAGGCACGTTGGTGCGCTTATGCACGCCCCCTACAGACCTCTTAGGAAAGGGGTGAGGTCAATAGTAGACAGTCTAAGGTTAAAGTTTTTGGGGTTTGGGGAAGAAACTACAGAGTCGGGTAGAGTATTCCAGACATTGACCACTCTATTGCTGAAGTCGTATTTCCTGCAATCAAGTTTGGTGCGGTTTACTTTGAGTTTGTATCTATTGTGTGCTCTTGTGTTGTTATGGTTGAAGCTGAAGTATTCATTGACAGGTAGGACATTGCAATGTATGATTTTATATACCATGCTTAAGTCAGACCGAAGACGGCGTAATTCAAGGTTTTCTAGTTTTAGAATTTCAAGTCTGGTGGCATAAGGTATTCTACAACGAGTAGAAGAGTGGAGAACTCTTCTTGTGAAATATTTCTGGACTTTCTCAATTGTGCTAATATCAGATACGTAATGAGGGTTCCAGACTGATGAACTGTATTCGAGTATTGGTCTAGCAAATGTTTTGTATGCTCTGGTTAGTAGTGTGATATTACCAGAGAAAAAGCTACGTAGGATTAGGTTAACAACTCTTAATGCCTTTTTGGCTATGTAGTTGCAGTGGGCTCTAGCACTTAGATCATTAGAGGTGAGTATTCCAAGGTCCTTTACAGAGCTTGGGTCATCAACAAGATCTTGACTATTCAGCTTGTATTTTATTTTCTGATTTTTTTTGCCAATATGTAAGACAGAGCATTTATTTATTTGAGATTTCTAGGATTTTCCAAGCCCTTGTCTTAATTTCTAGATTCTGATGAACATTGTAGAACGTATTTTCTTTGTCAGAGAAGCAAAAAGGAAACAAATGTATGATATAATTGTTAAGATGCACTGATATTTGATGCCTTGCAGTTTGGCCAGCTTATTTCAGGTCTTTCCAAGTTGATACATTTCTGTAAGCTCTGTCCAAGAGTCTTTGTCCTTAGTTCATTATAAATCCAACATAAGTTTCAAACAAATTAAGTTTCAAAAAATTACATCTTTGCAAAAGAGAGTCCATACTTCACAACTCATATTTGATATTTCTAATCCAGCAGGAGGGAAAGAAAAATGACCATATTGAAACCCAAGCCAATGTAGCAAAGCCAATATGTGTCACCAGGCAGGCTCAAAGGGTAGGGTTTTTTAAAAAAAGAACACAAAATTGTGGCCATGATTAGAGTTCGAACTGTGTCATCACAGCTGCCATCTTGATCTTTTTGGCCATAAACATTTTGAGCCCCGGGTTCCACTTATTTTAGAATCCTATAATTAGATGCAGTCTTAAAGGCTTGAATTATAATCACTGTTCAGTGCAGGTTGAAGATAAGAAAGATAACCTTGACCATTAAATGTAGACACTATTATCTAGGCGAAACTGGCAGAAACATTTAAAAAAATAAAAATATTTAAAAGTTCAGAAATATCTCAGGCAGATGATCCATCTCCATTCTAGCAGGAGAGGATACAGTATATAAGCCAACCTTCTAGCAGGAGAGGATATAGTATATAAGCCAACCTTGTCTTAGTGGGGGGGCAAAATGGGTCCATGCATGCTGAGCCACCAATCGCACAAGTTGACTGTGCATTTGTGTATGTGCACCAGCCAGCCACTCACACGGGCTGGTTCCAAACAAACCACAGCCTGGTAGTGGTCCATGGCCTGGGTGTTGGAGACCCCTGTAGTTTATCACAATCATAATTGCAAGATTCTGTGATTATAGTCAATTTCAATAAAAGTATTTCCAACCTTCCTTTGGAATTGATTTGCTTATCTGGTCTACTGGCTGACAGCAGATCAATTAGAGTTTCTCTGACAGATGACAATCCAGTCTTTTTGTTTGTTTGTTTTCAAGGGCTGCAGGAAAGAATTTATAACTTCATGTAGACAATCCATTCCTGACAGCTCATATAGTCAGACAGGTGCCCTAAACAGACCTGACAATATTGAAATGGACTTCATTGACAAGTATTCCCTTACAACAGAAGGGGGAAACTTGTATATCGTATTTGCAAGGGAGGGAAAAGGGAGGAGAATAGTATTAGGAGAAGTAAAAGCCCTTTGTTCTCTTTAGCAAACTAATTTATGGCATTTTCCTAAAGAGGTTGTGAAAATGCTTACACATAAATACAGAAAGATTTAAATTGCAGATAGTTGATATTACAAAAACCTTCAAATACAAGAACCTCTCATTATCCAGTCTCTATATCCCCAATTTATTGTATCCATAGTAATTTTTTTTTTAAAAAAGGTAGATCTGGGTATCCATGGTAACAAATTTCATGTATCCATGATATTTGGTACGTTTTTGTATATTTCATGTGTGCACATGGACATGTGTAAAATACTTTTTTACAGCGTAATTACATGCAGTCTCGTTATCTGCTGTTGTTAAGCCAGAGCAAACATTTCACCAGAAATGAGAGCCACTCTTACAGAACAGTCAATAGGTTAGAAGGGAATAGATCATTTAATGAACTTATAGTTGAAATTATAACAATTCTACTACAATTATTTAGTGTTTCCTACAACTAGTTTGTTCAATAGGTGTCACATCTTGTGAATAAGTTGAATTTATTGGATTTTCAACAATATTTTTAAAGAAACATTTTAATTGAATATATAGCAATAAAATAAAATATGTTGGCATAAGAAAGCAATATGCTAAAGAAGATTGTGCATAAAGCACAATAATAAAATACTGTTTCTTCAGCTTTAACATAAATGTGTGCCATCTGTCAACTAGATCTTTTTTGGAATTCTGAATAGAATTTAACACAAACTTAAAAAAGGATTTAAAGGTGGCGTTGGAATACAATTACTAGAATGCCAAATGTTAATCTGAACACAACCACAGAACTTTCAGTGCCCCTGGATATCTGAGCATTAAACCTTGGTAAGACCACACTTGGGATATCGCATCCCATTTTGGTTGCCACAATATAAAAAAGATGTCGTGACTCTAGAAAGAATGCAGAGAAGAGCAACAAAGATGATTAGGGGACTGAAGGCTAAAACATATAAAGAACAGTTGCCGGAATTGAGTATGTCTAGTTTAATGAAAGAAAGGACTAGGTATGACATGATAGCAGTGTTCCAAGAGGCTCTCCCAAAGAAGAGGGGGTAAAATACTTGAAGGCAGAACATGAAGCAATTGAATTGAATTGAATTGAATTGAATTGAATTGAATTGAATTGAATTGAATTGAATTGAATTGAACTGAACTGAACTGAACTGAACTGAATTTAATTCTTTATTATCATTGTACGTATATACACAGTATACATACAACAAAATTCACGTAACACCGAGACCAGAGTCAACATGCATGGACACATGACAATCCCCAAACACCTCCCCACCTGCCAAAATTCCCCGCCTCCCAAAAACACACAAGCATCCACACAACAGACCAAGTAATACTGTCCAACAGCTCACTGATGGTGGTCCTTAAGTTCATTGTTAAGTGAAATTATACCTCTGGGATAAAAACTATTCAGAAAACATGTGGTCCGAGTTTTAGTTGTTCTGTATCTTCTGCCAGAAAGCAGCAGTTCATAAAAATTGTGAGCAGGATGGGAAGAGTCTCTGAGAATGTTATGTAACTTTCTTAAACAGCGAGACTCAAAGGTGTCATCCAGGGCTGGTAGCTAGAGCTCAATGATATTCTGGGCAGTTTTAATGATTCTCTGTAGAGCTTTTTTGTCCGCTAGAGAGCTGCTCCCATACCATTCAAGAATGAAGTATGTCAGGACACTCTCAGTGGTGCTGTGGTAGTAGGACAGAAGTAGATGCTGAAATAGATTTATCTTCCTGAGCATTCTCAGGAAGTACAGCCTCTTCTATGCCTTCTTCACAAGCATGTTAGCATTCATAGTCCATGAGAGGTCCTCCGAGATATAAGTGCCCAGAAATTTAAAACTACCAATCCTCTCTACCTCCTCACCATTTATGTACAATGGTAAATGTACGTCTCTCTTCCTCCTGAAGTCAATTATAAGTTCTTTAGTTTTGGGGGTGTTAAGTGTAAGATTATTTTCTTTTCACCACAATTTTCTTTCCACAATTGATGGAAACTGATCAAGAAGAGAACCACCTTAGAAATAAGGAGAAATAAGGAGAAATTTCCTGACAGTTTGTCCTAAGAAATTGTGGGTGCTCCAACACAGATGGCAGCTGGACAATCATTTGCCTGAAATGATATAGGGCTTGAATAGGAGGTTGGACTAGAAGATCTCCAAGATCTGTCCCAATTCTGTTATTTTGTTCTGTTATATGAAGAAAATAACCCAGAATTGTTATTGTTATTTAATGACTAAAGTATAATCTAAAAAGACCAAGCAATTATTCTGCTGCCATTGTGATATATTGTGCTCAAGGCTCTTTACGTTTAGTAATTATATGGATTTGTGTATTCCTCTGTATTGCAGGAACTTTCCATGGAATCAGGTATCGATCCTGGCCAAGAGTATTACGGGCAAGATTATTACAGTTATGAACATGGGTACGATTCATTTTTTTTATTATTTTTACTATGACTTCATAGATTATAAATCTCTACTGTTGTTATTTATTGAAAGCATATCGTAGTTGGAATCTGAAAACTGTCCTCAGGGCATTTAGCATTAGTTAATTTAGACAACAGACCTCTTAAGTTGGCTTTCTTAATCATGAGATGTAATTGAAATGCCATCCCTATAATACCCAGTGTATCTGGAAGACCTCCGGTTGGGAAAGATTTACCTATTATTAATATCAATTGCTTGTCAAAATCTATTATGTTAAAAAGCACTTGACTCTGATTATAGTCACTTTTCAACAGTGTTCAAGAATGAACCCAGATAGATAGGTCATTAAAGTTAATTATAATCATTGGCTAACATCAATGAGTAGGTAGGCAACTAGATTGGAAGGTTTGTGGATAATTGTTACGTTTTTAGATTGAATTACATAAGTGGTCTTCAGCTGATAAATCAAATAAGCAACAAAGGAATTCTTTATTAGATACAGTATGACATAATGCATATACATTTTATCTTAGGATAGCAATAGCACTTAGACTTATATACAACTCTGTAGTGTATTACAGCATTCTCTGAGTGGTTTACAGTATCAGCACATTGCCCCCAAGCATCTGGGTCCTCATTTTACTGACTTCAGAAGGATGGAAGGCTGAGTCAACCTTGAGCAGGTCAGGATTGAACTGCTGCCTCTGGGCAGAGTTAGCTGCAATACTAGATTCTAACTACTGCTCCACTACAGCTCCTAAAAGTGGTAGTGGAACTATTTTTATCTCTACATCATAGAACCTAAAGCAAAGTATGGTCATCTGAAAAATAATTTAAAATTCTGAAGAATCTGTTCCAACAGGAATATATAGTTTTTGTATGTTGATATGTTATCTAGGAACTATTCCTATCCCGTTGCAGTAGAAGTAATGTTATAGACACAAATCTGACCATAGTTTAATAAAATAGCAATAGCACTTAGACGTATATACCGCTTCACAGTGCTTTGCAGCCCTCTCTAAGCAGTTTACAGAGTCAGCATGTTGCCCCCAACAATCTGGGTCCTCATTTTACCCACTTTGGAAGGATGGAAGGCTGAGTCAACCTTGAGCCTTGGTGGGATTTGAACTGCCAAATTGTAGGCTGCTGGCAGTCAGCAAAAGTAGCCTGCAGTACTTCACTCTAACCACTGTGCCACCAAGGCTCAATTGAATTATCTAGTGCATTTGGGTCAAATAGCTGTGTCATAAACTGGAATTAATGCTATTCTGTTCCTCAGGAAACAGGGTGTTATAGTATTTCTTACTAATCACACCTCCTTTTGCACTGACAATTATTACTTTTTATTACTTTTCCGTGGGTTTATCTATGAAGCTAGAATGTGGACACATTTCTCAAGAGTAAGTCTAGAAGCAATTAGGTTTTTTATTGGGCAAGGGATGGAGAAACTGAAAGTGATGGAATAAGTAAAATATACATATATATTAGCGCAATAATCCAATGGTATAAAAGCATGGAAGGTGTCGGTACCTGGTTTTTCCACCAGGTACGAATTGCCTCAATATGGAAGTCGTCGGCGCCTGCTGTCTCCTTCTGGAATGTATGATGAATACGGAGAAGTGGTTGTGGAGAGTGATGGTGGATATTATTATAGTCCACAGGGGACCTCTACAGAAGCAGAGGTAGGATTTGATGCTATTCCAAAATTCACTTGAATTCATTGTTCTGGTATTCAGAAGCTCCAATATTCTATGGGTGCAGTAGGTTATCTGGTTTTGTATTCAAAAAGCTTCTGAAAGAAGCAAATGGCAAGAAATTCAGAGAAGAGAGGTTGAGCGTTTCTTGCTTGTATATCTCTAGAAAGAGGCACTTTTTGAGACCATAGTGCTGGTAGAGCTGTCTAAAACCAGACAGACTTCCGCCTAATTTAATTTAACTTTGATTTTGCTTGATTTCCATAAGCTCCCATACTGACCTCATCCGTCTTCATAAACAAAGTTCTTGTCTTCTTCTTCTTTCTCTTCATCCAGAAAATCTTTTCTGGGACAAGACAAAGTCGCACAGGGAAATGCACAATTGAAAAATGCAAAAGTACAACTTGAAGGGACAGTCTTCTCCAAAAATGTCTCATTCCATTCATTTATCTTAGGATCCACATCCCTAGCAGTGTTTGGATTTTTGCCAATTAAAAAAATGTAAGGGGGAAAAATCAGAGGTGGTATTCAGCAGGTTCTAACCAGTTCTGGAGAACAGGTAGCGGAAATTTTGAATAGTTCAGGGAACTGGCAAATACCACCTCTGACTGGAGATTTACAGTATCCTTCCCCTGCCATGCCCACCAAGCCATGCCCACAGAATTGGTAGTAAAAAAAAATTGAATCCCACCACTGGAAAAAATAGAAATTCACAGTCAATATATTTTATAGCTAAGGGCCACAACCCACCACATTCCTAAAGTCAGAATTAAAGTGCAGCATAAATATTTGATAAGTTCAAATATCTACAGGGCTTAAAAGACTATGGAGGGACTGCAGGAATTTTAATCAACAAAACCTTGAAACCATCAGCTCAGTTGATATTTCTGAAGTGGATAATCTATCATTATATCTGCCTTTGGAATAATAACCAAATGACATTATCTTTAAGCTAAGAATTAGTTCATTTATTATTTCTGTAGCAGCTTTCATAGAACATAGAGTAACAGAGTTGGAAAGGATCTTGGAGGAAATCTAGATTGTTCCCCTCTGAGCATTGGGGAGACCTAGTTGCACATATAGTATCACTGAAGTGCATCTTAATAAATAAATTGTAAATAAATAAATACATCTTCTCTGTCCCTGAACTTCATGCCATATCAGCAACTCTTCCTTCCTTACGGTCTTCAAGATGTTTAGCATTGGCAAGGTTAATATACAACAGCCAATAACTCATGAAAAGTAGCATATATTACATTTTTGTTCTGCTAAACAGCCACACCACATTCATAGTTATACATAGGCCTAAGACCAGACTTCATTTATATATATATATATATATATGGTATTCAGCTTTGTTCGGGTATTTTCCCACGTCATTATAGTTGTGCTTTTAAAGTTGTAGCAACGTTTCGGCAGAATCTCATCTGCCATCATCAGGCTTCTGCATTGAGTTTGTCTGATGATATATATGGTTTTGACATCTCTTATTCTTGTTCAGATCTATAGTACCCTCTAGTGGTCCAAGTTAATATTAAAAAAATGTTTATAATTAAAAAAACACAATTCAATTTTTCCAGCTAATGAATGGATATCTAAAATCTTTTGCAAAATATCAGGTTGATATATGACATTATAAAATTAAAAGGGAATGACCTCTGCTAATCCCCAACATTTTGTGTAAAATTTAACACAAAATGTCCCAAAGCTGGAGTTTCCTTTAGGAAAATAGTTATTGCCAATAGTCCTTGAATACACAGATATTCAGGGCTTTTTAAAAAGAAAAATAATTATGTTTATGGAGACAAATGTTAATTATCACTCAGGATTTTAAGAAGTGATGCACAGACATTCCAGCTTCAAGTTTCCTAGGATGCTACAAAAATTAGGCCTGTTTATTTTGATTCTAGATAAGTTCTAGGTATTAGTTACTCCAGGTTTTTTCCACATCTATGTATTCTACGGTGCCAAGTTTCATTCCAGAAAGTTTTCCAAAATTGTGCCAAAGTGATATATAAATTTCATTTATGTAATTAACAGGGAACAAGTCAAGTCAGAAGAGCTGTAATCAAGAAACCAGGTTCTCGATTAGCTCTTCGTAGTGTAGGTAAAGAGAAGACTGTAAGAGAAAGACCAATCCAGAAAAGAAGGAAACTAAGAGCAGTGATGCAGCTGGGCCGAATAGCGGTCATTGGTCACAGGCCAGCAACAGCTGAAGCAGCACCATCTCCATGGAAAAAAGCCAAGATCTTTCCAATGATGCTACAAAAAGGAGGACGTAAAGATTCAGATTATGTCAAGCTGATGGGAGCACCGCAAGCAAATGGAGATGACAGTAAGGGAAGCCATTTCCAGAAATCAGCAGGTGAAGGACCATCTTCAAAGAAGCTTGGCCATAAATTTAAACATGCTAGTAATTTGAAGAAAGGTCTGGACCATGGTACCCCTGAGGAAGTAAGTGAATCTGAATCTAAGTCGGGAATCTCAATTAGTGTCACAGCAGAAAGTGAATCTGAAGTTAGTGATTTTGGAAAAAAGAAAAAAATAACATCATCTTCTAAGACAACATCATCTTCTAAGACAACATCATCTT